AAAAAAATCGATCCGCTCAACCCCATGGATACATTTGGAAATGCGATAAAGTTTGTAGCATATTATGGCAGCTCGTACATAATCAAAACAAAAAAAAAGACTCAAGAACGGACAAAAACATAAGGAAACGAATGTGCCAAATGCACAATTTCGACCAAACAATTTCGAGTAATATGGTTTCATCAATTCGGTTTCTTGTTCAGTTCCAAATTATGTTGAATTGGCTGGAAAGGAAGATGTGTTTGTTCTATTGTTATTCATAAAAGTAGGGGTATTTTTTTCGGATTAGCGTTCTTCCGTGTGTTTAGTGTGTGTATGTTAGGCTTTGCAGATAAACAAATTCAGAATGAGGCGGTGCCAAAAATGGATACGACGGTAATCAAGCTGATTGCGACAATGACAACACATATAAAATGAACATAATGAAATCAATTTGCCTCGATGAAACCTTTTTTCGATGTATTAAACGGATGCTGTAAATTGTATATTATACCCAAAGGAAATAAATGTGTTGGCATCACCTTAAAATGGGGAAAATTTATTTATCCGACCTGTAATTCTAATAGATATTCTCATAAACCTGTGAGATCTAATTTGATGGTACTGTCATTTTCTTACAACTTAAGGGTCATAACGATCGCTTATGCTTATTAAAAATTCAAAAATTTCACTGTTCCCTTCTTTTTCTCGTGTTTTTTTGTTCGTTTCGAAAGGGTATTTTCCAATCATTAAAAAATCGGCGTGTAATTTTTGAGTTTTTTCCAACAAATCATTACCATAGCAATGCATTGGTAGTGTGACAACCTTTTTGATTGGCAAATTTACTAACATCTAAAATTTAATTATATTTAGGTTTATTCAACAGCAAAAATGAGGACACATAAGTTTCATAGGTTAGCAGATGGGGATTCAGTGTCCACCTTTTCACGCACGTGTCCCAATCAACAAAATAAAAAAAAACTGGGTTCTGCCCCCATCCAAACTTTTCAAATTTTTCGATTTGCTAGGGTTTTTGAAGATAAAGAGATGCTTTTGTTCACTTTTTTCGAGGTTTCGAGATAGAAATTCTTTCGATTTGTTAGGGTTTTTTGCTGATCAACCCATGCTCAACTGCGATATGAGGTAGAAAAAGTGAATAAACCTTTTTTGCAACCGCATAAGCACAAGCGAGCACAAAAAGCACCCGAATTCTCCAATGAAGAGGAAGAGTATCCGTTCTCTGAGGCGTGAGTATATTTTTTTTGAAATTTGTTTGTGAAATACAGCAGAAACTACAGTGGTTATATAATTTTTTTGAATAAAGAGATCCGAAAGCGATTTTAATAACTCCGCTATCAAACAAATTTGTAATGTTTTTAGTACATTTTAACGTTGAAAAATGTAACGTTTTGGCCCATTCTGGTGGTCATTTTCGTGACAAATGGAACGGAGTTTCACTTGTTTCATTCACTTCCAATAATATTTCGTTTGACAACATAATGTGAACACAACCCAATGTATTGAGTTTTGAATTGCAAATCTAACGATTCATTTGTTTATTCAATAATTAATTTGAGAAGAGATTTGCGTAATTTCATTTGAAATTCTGAAGAAGAACATTTTTTAAACGTCATTTATTGCATTTATTTTTATTTGCTTCAAGTGTTGAAATAGAATTTTGAATTTTCGAAATGCAACCGAATCTTTCTGACATTTTTCGGGTGACGCACACATATTCGAACGATTTATTTTTATTTATTTATTTATTTGTGGTTTTAATGTAAGTTATCACAAAGTTTCACTACAAAACGTAAATAACAAAAGTATAGAATTCAAAACAAAATTCAATGTCAATAAAAATTACAACAATAGTTGCTGGTCAATAAATAAATCAAATCAAAATATATAATATAGATATCACAAAAATTAGTCTCTTGCACTACGTTGAGCAAAATAAAAAGTTAATACTCTAAAATCAGTCATAAATTAAATTAAATTAAATTTTCATTTATTGACAATCATCGTCATAAAGTCTGTTTCTGTTATCATGGGCAATCGATTCCCTCATCAAACTCATTTCATCAAACTCAGTACATTTAGCAGCAGATATAATCCCTTAATCCGTCATTTAAGATGTAAAAGCTCACCAAAAACTATGTCTGGCAATCGTGAAAGTTTGTGTTTGAAATCAATGAATGGTAAAGTTGGATCAAGAAACATCGAGGCATGATTAAAAGCTCGGCAGGCAATGTTAAATGGTGAATTTAGTCCAAAATCCGTACTATAAAATTGGAATCTAATGAATTCATGATTCCTGATGGTTCTTCTTCCAGTGTTTATCTAGATTTGATTGCGAATCATTGGAAAATTGTATTTTCCGGAAATAATTTTATGCAGAAACAGAATTGCTGCGTTTAAACGACGACGAACTAATGTCACTAGTTCCAACTTCTTGCAACGGTCAACATACGGCGCTAGTTGATAATTGTTTTCTTCTCTGTTCAAATAATCACCATTTAGATAGATAACTGCTTGTTTCTGCACACTTTCAACCGAAATCCTGTAGCTTTTGTGATGTGGTAGCCAAATGTTACTGGCAAACTCTAAATTAGACCGTACCAAAGAGCGTTGTAGTAGTTTGGCACATTTTATGTCAAATTTCCGTCTACAAGTTCTCTTAACAAATGCCAAAATTGACGTTGATTTACTTTTCATCAATTCAATATGTTTAGAGAAACTAAGCTTGGAATCAATCAACACACCCAAGTCTCTCATTTCAGTGACTCTTTCAACCATTTTCCTATTCATGAAATAATCATGAACTATGGGGTTTCTCATATGTGTCAATGTCATTATTTTGCACTTTGTAATGTTCACCTGAAGCCCATTGTGATCACACCACCTCATGAAATTTTCAATTGAATTTTGAAGATCCAATGCATCGTCCTCCTTCCTGATTATTCTAAGTAATTTCTTGTCATCGGCAAAGTTTAATGACGAGACTGATCCATTGTTGTTGTCGGAATCATCGAAAACGATATTTGTATATATTAAATATGTGCTCTGCATTCGAAGCGTTCCTAGGGGCTTTTATCTTCAAATGTATACGATTTAAACTCTAAATAGTGAACTATATTGCAAAATCATCTGTAATACGCGCAAATAAATGTGCATAACTGCATATATTTGGTGTATATTTCGTGTATATTTCGTATATATTTCGTCTATGGCATGTTTTTTTGTTCTCTTTTGTGCGGATCTTCTTCGATTCTGTGTAGCAATACTGTGTGTGTGTGTACACTGAAGTTTGAAATACATCTTATTCACTGGTATAGGCGAGAAATTTTAATCGTATATATGATGAATAGGACGTGAATATTGTGTATAAATTTGTATGAACGAATGATGAAAGCCCCTAGAAGCGTTCTCATCTTGTGATGGTATTGTTAGTATACTATTGTGATCAAAAAGTAAGACCAGTTTTCAATTTGAAATTCACGGGGAAATCGTATCATAAAAACCTTTTTGCTGTAGGTTTGTGGCACTGTCTTCGACATCTGTGCAAGTTTTCATGTCAATATCTCCATGAGGTTTTTGGTTATGTTCGTTTGTTAACATCAAAAAATTTACATTTGGCGATTTTTACAATGTCTGATTTTGTTGAGAAAAGAACTTGCATTAAATTTTGTATGCGGAATGAAATTTCTGCTGCAGAAACGTTTAGAATGTTGAAGAAAGCCTTCGGTGACGAGACGTTGTCCGGTAGAAATGTTTACAAGTGGCACAAACAATTCAAAGAAGGCCGAGAAAGTGTTGAAGATGAAGAGCGTTCGGGACGACCATCAACATCAACTAATGTGAAACACGTCAAACAAATCAAAGATCTTGTGCTCAAAAATCGTCGATTGACAATTAGAGACCTCATTGATATTACTGGCATTTCATTTGGGTCGATTCAAACAATTTTGAAAGAACATTTAAATCTCCGTCGTTGTGCAGCTCGATTGGTACCAAAAACATTGAATTTGTTCGAAAAAGAGCGTCGTGTTAATGTGTATCAAGAAATGATTTCTGACTATGAAACTGTCATGGAACGCATCATTACTGGCGATGAGACTTGGATTTATGCGTACGACCCAGAAATAGCAAATCAATCAAGCGAATATCGTGCCAAAGGTGAACCAAAACCGAAAAAATCACGTCAAAGTCGTTCAAAAATCAAAGTCATGTTGACAGTTTTCTTCGATTAACGTGATGTGGTGCATTATGAATTTCTTCCAACTGGCCAAACTGTCAACAAGGAGTATTATTTGAGTGTTATGCGTCGTTTGCGTGAAGCAATTCGCAAAAAACGGCCGGATTTATTCAATGACAACCCATGATTTTTGCATCACGATAATGTCCCAGCTCACACTGCGTTAATAATTCGCGACCATTTCGCCAAAAATTCCACTCATATCGTTCCGCAACCACCCTATTCGCCACGCTCAAAAGGCCGCTCCGTGGACATCGTTTCGAGTCGATTGAAGAAATTAAACGTGAATCGCTACGTGAATTTCAATTCCGTATACCGGCAAGTAGCTTTGCGCACTGTTTCGAAGACTGGAAAAAACGTTGGAATATGTGCATTGCAGCCGGAGGGGATTACTTTGGAGCTGACGAAATGAATTTAGAAGAATAAATGAAGATTTTCTATTTTTTTACAAAACTGGTCGTACTTTTTGATCACAATAGTAAACAATTCCTTTCTGTCACATGATTTTTAGCATCGTTCTGTTTTACATTCTCAATTTTAAAGTGACGTAGCAAAATATTTCGATTTCGTTGTCAATATTGGAAGTATTCGGTGTTTGAATAGATTTTTTGTTTTATATTGTCGTCATTAAATTAATAAGACAGTGCAACGAAATACATTTACAATTAATTTTCAAGTATTTTTCTTCGATTGGTTTCAAATTTCAGTTTGTTGACACAAAATGTTTAAGAGAAAAAGGAAGGCTGAGGACGATTTGAATGATGGCGTTGATGACGACAAAGATAAAGGATCAAATTGTCGCTCAACACAATCTTATTGCCAAAATATGAAGAATACATGACACATTTCTTTTACGCCCGAAGTTTTGTGATGACGGAAA